AGTTACCGGGACCATGGAGAAACCAGCAATAAACCTAACTGGATATTGGAAAAGGATGTTAAAAAATCACCTAGACAACCTAATTCTTGGTTATCAATTAAAGAGGAATTAAAAAACCATAATGTTAGCTGCCTTTAAAAAAACCGTCTGGAAGATCACAGTGTATATGTACTCATTTGTGCATCATTCCGGTGAGTGAGCACTTGCCCACCAGTGCATAGCACACGAAGATAGAATAATTCGTTGGAATAACTAAGTGGAAAATGGAGTTTGGACGTTTCTGTGTCCCACTTATAATGCATCTGCGCTTCTTCTTTTATTCAATTTAGAAAGCTTGCGTTCTGTAGATGCTTACAACACAATATTTAGGATGCCATTCATTAGAACAGAAGGTCGCTGAAATGGGTAAATTGCGTTGTTAGTGGGTAGGTTGCTGAGTCCTCCGTTACTTTGAACATAATCTTTTCAAAAGCACACTTTTGGAGCTGGCTTCAACACCATGGAATCCGTTTATTGTCATTCCGTTGATCAGATTCATGGGTTTGCCCCTTTTTTCTAGACCACGGCTAGAATAATTGATCACCCTGTTTAGTCTTGTCTAGTCCTGGAGATCACTTGTGCTGGCCATCAACTGTGGTCAGATGTCCAGGAAGAGCAACGAACACTGCATAATATTCCGCATTTTCTTGTCTTAGTTGTATACCTTTCTGAAAACGGTGCCCAAAGATTTGCCAGAATTTCTGCTGTGTTATTCGAACTCATTGCCATACATGAGGACATTGCGAGCTATGCAGGTTACGCCCTGACAGCTTATTAAAGGCTCTAACGAATCTCTTCTCGAAGGTCTCACCAGACACATTTAGTTCGATTGGCAAGCGCAGTCGATAAGACCTCCCGAAAGGTGTGTAGATGGTTGTCGACAAGCTGGATAGGTTTCTTTCACACGATTTGGGTTGCTGTGTTCCAATATCGTTGCTTATTAGAAACCTGGTAACTTTATAGTTCCGTTTCGCAGCAGTGTGGCTGAAGTAAGAAGAGAACCAACGAAGTGAACTGTCTCAGATAGGTGCTTGGCAAACGATGAACCATAGCTTGATCTAGTCGCTAATGGTGTTGACCGGTGGTACTAAAAACTATGCAGAAATTGATTCACATCAAGCACGGAAGTTTCTCGTAAAAAATTTCGACCAGTTTCAGAGAAATGAATATCATCGCAAATGCTGGTGAGCTTATGGATAATAGGTGAAACAGAGTAATACTACAAGTTCTTCGATATAAACTGAAACATAATCTTGTGCGTTGTGGAACCATGAGAAATTGGACAGTCCCTTAGATGCGGTTCAGAGCGGGCTGAAGTTTCTGTATGATGTTGTTTGAAGTACGATTGTAGACACATTACATTTTCCCCTTCTTAGTTATTGCTGTCTAACTGAGCGGAGGGTTTCGCGCAAAATACTGAGAATTTCCGGGTGATTATTGGGGGGTCAAATTTTCCGGATGACAAACAGAACATGTAATAGCCACCGAGTGAATCTATGGTAGGCATCCTCCAGACTGGTCCCAGTTACACGCAAGGGGTTGGGGTCGTTGCTTTTTCAGAACGTTGAGCTGGTTTTATTGCAGCCCCGTTAGCAAAACATGTTTTTTAGTATTTGCGGCTCTCTCTCCAGTGATTCTCTCGGACTACTTCTCTCATAAATCTCCGCTGTCATTGGAGACACCAGCGATTTTCGAGACTCTCTTATCTATCATGAATACTCCTTGTTCTTTGTCGTACCTTAAGGAGACCAGTTTGTTCGTCAATTGTGAATCTTTGATGGCAGATTTCAGGCCTCAGACAGTTGTATTGAACTGAATTTGGCACGACATCAATTTCTTTTATTACAATCCTTTGGAAGATGGCCTCAACTTGATCTCATCTATTTTCAAATTAGACCAGCGCGTATACGTTGGTGACATGCATTGAGTGTCATAAAATTTAGCCCAGTGACAAGACTCCCAAATGGACTTCGGTTACCACAGTTGAGAAAGGCTCAGGAGCGCAACAAATTGTCTATAATGAAGAATTGGTCAACCCACTGGTTAGCTTGAGTTGTTCGTGGATACCAGGAGTGTGCTTTCCCGAGAGTGCCTGTGAGAATTTCTAAATGGCAGGGTTGTGTTTCGAATATGCCAAGCGTTGTTTGGTCGCGATAAACTGATTAAGTACACCTCCTGTCTGAAGGCAATATAGTTTATCAGCGGTGAAAGCCCAGGTATACGACAAGGAACTTTTTGATTTTGACAGCGTGTTTTTGATGCTGTTTGACCTCACAATCTATAAATCATCCGAGTGAGAATGAGAGGGGTACTATGGTGTTCAGCTGGGTCTATCAACATGGATGGCGGGTTTCAAATATGAAGATGCCAGTTTTGTGTTGATAAAACTCCCACACATGCCGAGTAATCGGATTCACTAGACCGGAATAGAAATCAGTATTACGAAGATCGAGATGTACTTCAGCTTTCTAGTTACATCTAGTGCACTTCTCAACAATGGTTGCACAGATAACGGAGTAGCACATAGATTTAACCATCTTACCCAAATAAGTGAACAAAGGACATCAAGTTGCCAGTGCTTTCGAGTGGCTAAGCAAGGCACAGAGGATGACGAATAAAACTGTTCTATGCACAAGCTTGGGGTCGTTAAAGCAGCCCTTAATCCAGTCACAAATAAGTCTCTAAAGATAGAGGATATTCGGAAGATAAAGGTGTCTGGTGTGTTCGATGAACACCAAAAGTTCGATACCTGGATGAAGTGTAATGGTAAAATTTAGAAGACTTGTCGTGACTTCCCAGATTTACGTTAAATCTTTCAATGACGACGTCTATCAGGGTTTTGGAAACTTTTGCACAAGAACAATGTTGAATTTACCGAAAAAAACTTGAGCCTGTTTCTGCAAATGGTGGTATTGATGACTTGGGGTAAACTAAGAACTTAGCTTGTTAAGGTCAAGGATGGCATGAAACAACTTGGTTTCCAAGGGATTCACAACCTTTTTTAATTGAGCTGCCACCGGATTGTGATTTGTACAGATCTGACAACCAATATCCTAGACATTTCTGATGCCGCCACCTAATCTGCCCTCGGCGAAGAGTAAGATAAATAAGATTCATATGTCGATCGGGTAACATTAATTACGCTTCGGACAAGCTTCATCTAAAACCACAGTGAACATACTGGCTGGCTTTAAACGAGGTTTGCTCTCTTCTTCCCAGAGTATTTTTCAGGCAGACAAATATCGTTTACGGAAACAAGCACAGGAAACCAAATGCTGTTTGTCCCTCCAGATGAGGAAACTTGTCAGACCTGAATAGCTGCACAATTTCCCAGAGGGGCTATGTCTATTTCGTTCTTCCGGTTGCCTGAGATCCAAGTGCAGCCTAGTAATGATTGTGAAACAGAGTCCCTGTATATCTTTTCTCGTTTGCAATCCTAGTAGGCGACAACTTGAATTTAGACAGGGCCTGGTGGTCCAGAAGAATAGAACCATTGCTGTATTACTCAAAGGACGCAGGCTATATTATATTCTTCAGCGTCTTATCCTCTTATTATTTCAAGCGCATGACCTGGTTAACGATGTACTCTATAGTCGTGAATTGACCTGGGTCATGACCTGAACATATGAGGCGACCCCATTTGGAAGCCAGATCGCAGTGAGTACTTTCGATGTTTCATTACAGTTGTTTGGGGCTATCTTCCTGTGCCATCTGTGCTAAACTGTTAGGTCTATGCCGCTGCTATACGTGTTTTAGTTGAAATCAGTAGACGCTTCGGCCGTCATTTACTTGCCAAAGCCTTGTTATACTTTTGTGTTTGTTGTAAGGTCAAAGGGCTTTCTACCGACTGCACTGATGTAAATTTGCCTGAAGCTGGATTTCATTGGAGGTCATAAGTTGGGTCTTTAAACTTTTCCCTGTACAACTCTAAAGATTTTACTGACCGAAGTGGAATAAGTTCTCTACTTTAGAAATTTCGGCACTACAGCCACAAAACCTAGTTTTACTGAGCGTATCTTATCCTGCAACTTATCCCCTCAGTGTACAGTTGCATACTTTGACAGACGGAAATTAAGTTCTTGTTTGAGTGAAGCATTTTAGTTTTGCTTTCCCTTGCGAGTCTGAAATCGGGAAGCTAGTTTCATTAAAACCGTGCCCACTCATCCAGTGGAGTAATGCTGTTTTCTCTAGGTTTAATTCAAACGAAGTAAACTTAAACACGAAAATTTCTTTTGTCTATGGAGGAAAATGTTGGTAGCTCAGATAGCGTAGATGGTCGTTTGCTTGTTCGCTGGGCTGGGCAACTTGATTGCTGCGATTGCATTCAAATCGCCCAGCTCAGCGAACAAGCCAACGACCACGGAAATTTCCATTGTGTCTGGGATATCAACTTTGATGTTTGGTCAAAGTCGTCAGTTGTACTGTCTGTACAAATGAACTGACTGCATCTGGAAAAATAATTTTGGATAAGAAACCTTATGGGGAAGTTTTGCGACCCCCTTAAGAGTATCTGCGACCATCCAGGGGCCAAGGCCCTTACCTTGGTAGCCGTGGTCAATGAATCTATGCGGAATGATGCGAAAAGTTTGAATACGGTGATTGAAAAACATGGTTAATCATTGCTAGCTAATTCGAAGTATATGCAGAAAGCGGATGCAGTACCCATTTACCTTGATTGAACAGTTAAACCACTGAAACTCAGTCCTATTCACCCTGAAAAGTTTAGGAAAGCGGAACAGCGTTAAACCAACTTCGCATGATGTAAATACCTCACAAAATTTAGTGTCTTATCGTGCAATCACTTGTGTTTGTCCTGTTCACTTTTCCAATACTTGCTTCCATAAAACTAATAAGATGACACTAAATCCTTGTTTGTGTCTAGTTTGCTAGACGTTTCAACTACTTACAGCGTTTCATTGTGTGCACTAGTTACACGGACCCAATGTCTGCTCTAATTTCAGGCGAAGGACTGTTTTGACGCAATCGACCAGATCATCGAGGAGACTATAAATCTGATCCCAAAAGAACCACTCCGTCTGTGTGGATTGGGATTATTCGCCGGACGAATGCTGTATGTCCCAGTTGAACGCAATCGCATGTTACAGGAATTTGTCTCCGTACTCACCGAATCACTGGACGGCGCAGGCTTCACGACGAATGTACAGCCCCATTTTGACTTGCATGTGACACTGATGAAAGTGAGTAGGTTATACCCATTGTTTTAGTGCAGAAATTGCAACGGAGCTTTGTATTACGGAGATTAGAAGATGAAATCATGTTTAGACACTGCATGGTACACTTCCCAAAAGTTAGGAGGTCAGCATATGCCACTTCATCGTACATCATCTAATGCTCAATACTAAAGTGTGTACGAGTTCACTGTCTCTCTTCACTGTGGGACTATCTTCCCCACAATGGAAGGAATGGAGTGTGGGAAGACGTGAGATGACTATGCTGTCACATATTCTCTGCCCTAACCTGTTGGGAACGAGCTGTTACAATTAGTATTCACAGGAATTCAGCTTTCAGTTTTCCGTGGAGACTGAAGCACATATCGCATGTGCCGGTTTATTTGATCGGTTCAGTGACGATCTAGTGTGACCGTGTCAAACTAAATGTTTAACCTTTTAAATTATGACATCGGGAAAAATTTGTCTGTCATCATCCATGATCTGTCATTCTGACAGAAGTCACAGCGAACTATCCGAATTCTTAACACTAGTAGATCTGGACACGGAAACAATGCGTTGTAAGGCAGATACAGGTTCTGCGTTATCCAGCGTAAAACTCCAAGGAATCGATCTCCAGCGTTCAGTCGGCTGCTGAAATCAGCTGGCATTCGCATGCACTTTCCATATTATTTTTTACGGAAAGTGAAACAAGGACTGCGCATGTGCTGGAAAACAAGTGCTCCCAAAAGTAAATATGTGGGCACAAAACTTTGGAAAGGCAAGAAATAGACAGTCGGGCTCTGCCCATTAGTTTCAGCAGCGGAGATAGCCAAGATAACCAGATATCACAACTCAACCTTCCAAATGCTCGACGAGTTAATGAGTACCATTCGGACGTTTGACGAAACGGAGGGAGACGGCTGCATCTTAGACCACGCCTATTTGGTGGCTGTCCAAGATATGCTCTTAACCGAAACCATCTATTGAACAACACGATACTGTAGCTTGGGTTGGGAGCGTCGACTGAAGTGTGTGTTAGACACGTTTCGTAATGCTTAAAGCTCCATGCTTGTTTTACCGGTCGTCCTTAGGTTCTTCATGAAAATACCTCTGGTGGCGTAATAATACTTGTTGAACACAGCCCAACAACTTACACTTTTTAGTCATGCACGTAGATGAAATGAAAAGTCGATGCTGAAACGACAAACACCTCCTCCCCACCACTCAAGTTAGGCGTGTCTCCATGCGACACGAGTCGAAACCGAACAAGACTTTGGCCCATCAGTATTTCTCACACCGACCAACTTTCTGCTTCCTTGGTGCTTGTTTGCGGTCACTCACTGCAGCAAATGATCGGCTTTTTGGTCGACTGCCAATTGCATACTTCATCTGACGAACAGAAGAACTCATCAGAGAGCTGTTTATGTTCAAGTAACCGTAGACGCACCCCAAACAAGACAACAGTACCAGTAGTAAACCGACCGCTTGTTTGCCTCCCATCGATTTAATCGTGTCTAAGTGACCCTCAATTGGGCTTCCTCCCGTGAGCATTGTTACGGTAATTTATCTGAGGAAGTGCAATATTTCGTGAAACGTGAGGAAAATGGAGAACAAGGTTAGCGCTTTGTATGAGGGGAACAATGCCATCGTGCTCAGGCCGGCCGATGACTTTCAACGGGCCTCTGCGTATAAGTGCGCCAACCTTATCTTCCCGGATTTACATCGGCGTCAGGGACTTGCATGTCACAACAAGTTCGGTTCCGCGCGATCCCTCTGCGTTCTACCTACATTGTGCCGGCCACCAGAGGATTGACCACTGTTGATCGGATGTCAGCTAGTCGATCAGATAACCAACTTTATATCAATATATGTATACATATATATGAATGGGGATTAGATGTGATATTCACAACCTCGGAGGTCTTCTTAAAGCCGTTCATATATAAAGGAGCGGGTAGCTTTTACTTGGATAAGTGTTAGCCAACTGCAGTAAATCCAAAGGGAGAAATAAGCCACTACCCGGAACTCCATTCTTTGGAAACTGGACGACCTGAGAAAAACTTCTGGTATATAAAACTGCGGCCATAAAGCCCTCAAAAACTTGTGTAGCAGGCAATGTTCTGTCTAGTTCAAAGGTGAGATTCAAGTCATCTACTGATGCATCCAAGATCAACAAAACAAGGGCAAAATTCAAACACATTATAAATTAAGATACGTCGTGCAATTTGACGATCCTGCACGTTTGCTGGACTGCTTCTATTAACTTTTCGCACTCTTTTAACATACACGAACCCAAGAAAAACGACTGGTCTGAGCGATGTTTCGCAGGCTATAGACTGTGCTCCCCAAGACAGCCAAGTTTTTTTAATTTCATGTGCTAGCAGATCAAGGTAATGCTGGACTCGAAAGAAAAGTTGTTGGGATAAAACCCCATCGCTCATACTAAAACCCACCAACTACAGAATTATTTGGCGTTGAAAAAGATTCTGGATAATATGACCACCAAGAAAGCAAGTAACCTAGTAGATGCCCGCCAGAGCAATCAAATTATCCTAGAGTTTAGCACACAAAGAAGCGTAACGACATGACTTGCAGCTAGTACGAAGTCCAGCCCTGCTAAAACTGTCATTCAGATGTGACTGGCCTCGTGGGTTAGTAGAATGAAAAATGCGTCGCTGTGGTCAAGAAGCCAGATCACAAAACTTGTCAACCTTCCAGATTGTCTAATTGTTACTAGTCGAAATGATGTAGATTGGGAAGCTTCCAAGTTAGAGTCCCCGGTTGATCTGATAAGGCAAACGGCTATGGGTTACAGTCCACAGCAGTTCTCTATATATGCCCTACGAATTTCTGATCTGCTTCACGGGGAAAAAAACTGAAAACAAAATTCGTCCGTAGCACTGCATTTATTGAGTTGCCTGTACTGCCAGTATGTAGGCAGCTGGGTAAAGTTCCCCGAACGAAGCTTTTTATTACGGGCCGCGCCTTATCAGCAAATGTATTTAACCGATGCGCATTTTCACTGTTTTTCCAAAAACCTTGCCCAAAATCATCACTATCTGTATTCGATCACCCAGGGTCAGAGAGAGACTAGATCTTACCGCGGAATGGCGGTTTGTGTACCTCGGTGACCCATTGAGTTATACTGGGAGCGGGGTTGTCCGTGCGACTCTCACAGAGTCTCTCATAACAGGTTGGCGGAGGTCAGACGAACACAGTCTCCCAGGTTGCTGGTTGGAACACGTGGCGACGTATTCCGTAAAATAGGTAATGTACTTGCATTTTTAGCCCAACAGTGCTGCCTTACGGTTGGGCTTTTAAGCCAAAGATTCTAGTCGAGGACTCTTATCGTTCGCCTCTCTAGGCTTGGGCGCCCTGACAGTATCCCAGTCCTCGTACATCCATGACATTTACTTATGGTTTTACGACAGTGAGGAATCAGTGCCAACACTGATGTTGCTGTCCTTGATGTTGACCATAATGAATATGAAATATGCTGTGCAATGACCCTAGGTGATCACTGGAGTAGGGAACAATAGCGACTATTGAGTCAGCCTAGTGAACCATGCCTCCAAGCAGTACCTTCCGAACTAGCTCGACTCTAGAATCCTCTACGTATTTTCGTTTGTTACAATTGATTAACATCTTTCATTCATAAAATGAACCCTCATTTTAGGCTTTTCCTATCGTGAGAGCCGTTCAACTATCAACGATACCATTTTCCCATAGATAGAATAGCACCAATCGTGCTGCTTGTGTCTCACTGGCAGCCCAGACTGCATACTGAGCACGGTGATCGGGCTACCCCCAAGTTTTCCACACAGCTGGACCGAGTTGTCATGTTTGGGTCTAGTGTACGTAACTAGCACGCTCCGAATATGGCCCACTGGGAACGTGACCAGGAAACTGCATTTTGCTACCGGCTGGATTTCAATGTTTGCCATCCGAAGGAACGCATGTGTCAGCTTTTGGATGCGCGCGGGTATCAGCCAACTGTAGAGAATATGTTATGTTGTATGGCTGTAAGACTTGGTCTATTCGAGCAGCGGACCTGAGACGTCTTCAGGTGTTCGACAATCGTTGTCTCAGAACCATAGCTCGTGTGGGTTGGTGTCGGCGAATCCGTAACGAGGCAGTTAGAAAGCGTGTTTTCGGTTGTGTAACGGGTACTTCCATTGAAGAATGTGTCCAGCACCAGAAGCTGCGTTGGTTGGGACATGTTTTACGCATGCCGAACCATCGTTTGCCGAAGAGAGTACTGTTTTCCACGCCCAATTCGGAGTGGCNGTCAGTGGCGTTCTTGTTGTCAGTTTCTGTCCAGATTGCCTGAGTGAATGTCTGGAGGTGTAGGCACCTCGGAATGATTGTGTTAAGCTAGCACTAAGTCCCGCCCCCATCCACATTTATTCTTTTCTTTACAATAAGGCTTTCAAATAAGTCATGGTTGTACGGCAGTGAAGCATCGATGTTGAACACTGATGTCATGCTGTCGATGGTGATGATGATGATGATGAGAGAATATGGGCGATGTCGACTACTCGTGAGTAGGCTGAGTTAATGTCTCATAAGGAGGCAGCATAACCGCCAAGGGCCTCTTTTGAACTGCTAACGAGTCCCATGAGTAAACTTTTATTAGGGGGCCGGGTGTAAGTGATCCGCTTAGTGTCATGTTCTCACCGAAAGCGATGGATATGATCTTGTTCGGTTCAGTCATCATGAAATGCATAACAACAGTTTCTGAGATCACTTCCACTTTTTGTCCACGACCACAACGCAACAAATCACGGACTACATCTGTCGGCAAAATAATCTTCAAATTAATACATTTGCATAACAGGTAGCGTAAAACAGGACGAGAAAACCATAACAATCAGAAAGTTTGTTGATTTCACATCGCTGTAGGTAGTGAGTAGTTAAACAAAAGTCTAATATCATAATGACTGATTCATCTGTGGCAATTAGTAGTCGCCAGCCCATCGATCCAGACGGCAATATATTTTATTAGCTTGATCTTGACGAACGTCTTTTGTTTGTACAAAACTCGAACGTGCAAATGTATTGCGATTGCCTCAGCTGTTACCAAGGTTCCTAATCGAGGGCTTCCAAAATTTTGGGGTGGGTTAGATTACTCATAAAACTAAATTTAGGTTCGCAGTGTGTTTTGTGTTAAAAGGATGTCGAACCACTGCTTTTTCTGCCCCCCCCCTCCGGGTTAGTGTTATGGGCTCTCTAAAACTAAATTTAGGTTCGCAGTGTGTTTTGTGTTAAAAGGATGTCGAACCACTGCTTTTTCTGCCCCCCCCCTCCGGGTTAGTGTTCATGGGCTCTCTAGAGGTTTGGACAGTGTACCCCGAATCAAATGGTCATTTAAGGCAACTTGTGCTTTGGAATTCTAATAGTTATGAACTGGTTAGTTTGGTGATCTCAATGGTGGGACTCGGCCGGATGGATAGCATGCTACTTCACCCAGAATAAATAAATCACTGTAATGCATAGACCTATGACGGCCCACTCACTGACTACAGTCATATGAAATCAGCACACTTTCCGACCATTGTTTTTTGTCCTGTTTTACGTTATGCAGTATGCGGACATACGAGGTTGAAAGTACATGCTTCATATATTGGACGCCATTTTTATTCTTTTATGTTAAACCTTCGTCATGATCTCCCACCTTGGTGTTCTATTCACTGCATGTGTAATGGTTTAACAATAAAATCCCTGATGGCTTTTATGTTCTTCGGTTGCGCTTAAGAACATTGTAGGGTTATTCAATCAGAAGGTGTATTTAATCTGACAGACTGATAATCACGTTGCACTGACTACTTAAAAACTCACCCTACTAACTCACCTACAAATGAGGTTCCAAAGTAAAGGACACTTAAGAAGTGTTTCTAATTCAACTCCCAGTCCTTCAGTTTTTTATCTAGAACTTTATCGCCACCAAACTAAAAACCTTCGCTGTTGGACTTTATCCTAATTTCGTCGTATTGCTTCGCAAGAAGGCAGAGCAAGCTATTATGCAGTGGTGCATTTGTATGCCCTTGATGTTAAGTTCAACTTGGGATAATGTTTCCTCGAATGCGTTAGTGAATATGTTGTATTCCGCAGTTCTACGTACACCAACGTGATCTCTTCCATACTCCGGCTTTTTCACCGAATCTCAGTGGTTTTTGTCAAACAGAAGCAAGTGACTGTAACCAGAGTGGTCGGTGCAAGTGGCATCAAGCGAAATGTTTGTGAGGATAGGTGTAACAGAGGACCTGAGAGAACACTTGGGCCACGTCTATTCGCAGAATCACCATCGATTCTTGAGAATAATATATCGGCCCAATTAATAACGATATTTATTCATTTGATGTTTGGCCACCATTCCCTTAGCATCATCCAAGCCGTACCTCTGCCAACTGAGGCACTTCGTTGTTTTCGTCCATTCCCGTGGCAGCCCCACGATGCTCCACTACGAAGGCATTTTGATTGCCATGGTGGCTGAGAGAGAATTTAGTTAAAAACTGAATACTGCTGTCGGTCTTCACAGTAATAACATGGTCAGAAGTAGCTTGTTTCGTTTATTCCACGAAGCACGGAGTACGTGATTGCTTGAAAAACTGGCTCTATGAAAAATGGATCGGAAGGGCCAGGCACTTGACATGTTACCCCATTACAGAAACTGTGTTGTTGGTCCGAATGCTTCCATTTCAGACTATATTACTTTACGTTGCGTTACGTACTTGCCATCCAGGCAGAGCGTTGTCGGTGAGGGAGTTTAGAATCCTCTTCATGCTGGAAATAGTCCTTGAACAGCTGACCTATTTACCCAGGCATGTTCGTATTCCGTTTGCCTAGACTACCCAAAATTGTTCTGTCATGATTTCTGTGTAATCGCACCACCAGTCATAATCACAGTCCGTCCACGGAAGGGACAACCGGAACCGACAGTGCTAGCATTCTGCTTGCCGTTGTTTTGTGTGCGGAGCTTGATACTTCTGTGCCTGTTAGTGACGGAATTCTGCAACTGTTCAAGCCAAGAACATGGATAGTTAAAGTTTGTTGTGTAACGTTGCTTCCATACGTGTGACTCCAAGTTTCGTAGCAAGAGCCTCAACAATGACAACATTTTCGTGGGTTGATCAAACATCAATCCGCCGAAATAATATGCAAAAACTAGTTCCGTTTCTTCGCTTTAAGTTTTGTGGATATTCCATACAACTGCGGAATCGTTTAATCACTTAGTTGGGCCTTAGGTATTGATGAATTAACGATTTAGTTGAAAACAGTGTGCCACTTACCGGCTTCCGACCTAACTATATGAAGTCAGTGTGAAAATAAGTTCCTGGAAGTCGCTTGTACTAGAAGTGTATACGTCATTTCACTTTATTCGTATGGTGACAGTGGGGGGTCTAAAGTTAAAGATTCCCTCCTAGCATTACAGGCCTCCTGATAGTGGCGAAAGTTTCATGTGAATCACTCGCGTCTGCTTTCTTTGTATTCAACAACTTGAGGTCACACTGTGTTGCTGAAAGTATGACGAATATTAGAACAGCTATCTGCTTACTTCACTTCCATTAGGTAAATTGTTTCAAATTCCGTCCTGACTTTATTGCTTTCTCCTTAAATTTACAGTCGATTTTCGTCACTTTACATTCTAAGTAAACTATGAATTTATTTATTTATTTATTTCTCAGCTAAGAGTTTTAGTAAAGAATTCAAAATGTTCTAGTAAAAATGCCTTTTACCGGTGATATGCTTCTCCAACCCAATTGCTGCTGAAACAGACAAACTTAAAAAGTGGTTTGTGTGAATTAGAAAAATGACATTTTTTATTTCGAATGTCGTTTGCTCTACTGATTTTTTAGCTTCGGTCCAAGATATACTTAGGTTTCAATTAAAAAGTGGCTTTCTGGGAATATTATGGCGACTTTTTGCGCGCATCCTCGTGTCATAGTTGAGCAGTGTTAACCTCGGGAAGGTATGCAGTTGACGACCGCAACCAACCACCAAGAACCTCCAGATATTGGAAATCACAGTGCTCAGTTGTTCATTTGGTATTAGGATACCTGAACTACTGAACACCTTACCCAGTAGTTGAATAAACAATCAGAGTGCAGAACAGACTGCACACATCCGGAACTTTGATGTCCCTAATCACTTCAGCGATTTCCGAGACACGCACTGCTCAGATTTCACAGTAAGGATTAGCTAGGTGCACCACAGCTCCAGCTGAATTCCGTCATGCGTTCACTACCACTTCCCATCCACTGAGGCTCATCAACCGTCGCCAAAGACCATACAATTGATTGATGGCTTTCTCTCTTCAGCTAGTTATTTTCGCTTTCAAATAGCTGTTTTCAGCTAAACTATCCCTATATTATGTTCAAAATTCCCAGTTTCCCTCCGATATTCAAGAAGAATTCACTATCCCTCATGAGTGGCTGACTGAATTCGAAGAAGCCGATTTCGGTGAGCTGACTTTGACGGAGTTTGAATTTTGTCTACGCAGCCCTGGACCCCATGGATTCTATCCTCCACTTGGTCGCATTGCACTCACTTTTGACAACTTCCAACCGGATGAACTCTAGCTTTGTGGATTTTGATGGAAAATTTTCAATTATTTTTCTGACAAACCCAATGGTGCTTACTTCCGTCTACTCAAAATTTATCTTGATTTGGATAATCATGTCCGAAATCGCAAGTTATTTATTTTTAGTTCAAAAATTTCAAGAGATACTCAAATGGAGGACGAACAGTTGTATGATTTATCGCACTTGCAAATAGAGGGGTTTGGTTGGTATAGTCTGTTGATTTTTTGTATGACTTATTTGCAAGTTTTCCACTCAATTTCCCCTGCGGGCAGTTCCCGTCAGTTTCCGGTGTCTTTAGCTTAAATTGATTCAGATTTCCCAAAATTAGTTTTGATTTTAGTAGCGAAATAAGCCTAAGGGAAGGTGACTCGTGCTTCTCGGAATATTATGAATAAACCAGGCTGCATGAATTCCATTGCTGTTAACTCGACCAATTTTTAACCGAGAATCGTCTACAACCTGTGTTTCCAACAGTCCAAGCCACTACTTTACTGACCGTTTTTCTCAAAGGTGTAGCACATGAATGTGTCAAACTCTACCGGCGCAGCAAGCAACTGAGACCGATGATAACGTTTTTTCAATCTTTTTCAGTTGATTGTTCATAAGAAATATCAACGTTAGGGAAAACCGAAAAAAACGCCTTCTATTAGACTTAATCAAACTGACTTACTTTGACAATGCAGGGAATATGAAATGACCGAATTCAGAAACCACGTGGTTATGCATTTGTCTGCAGTTTTTCAAATCACTGCGTGACCGCAATGGCGACTAATCCTCATACCTGCTGTGTTGTTTGTGTTCCATTTCGCTCAGTATTTACTAAGTCTATTCATTTGTCCACGAATTCAGCTTCGAACCAAATAGTACACCTGCTGTCAACATGAAGAGAGTGGAACGGATAGTTACTTTCAGACTTGAGCCTATCTGACGTTTGTCTCTCTCTGTTCGAAAGCCCACAAGCACGATCCATATTCAGAAGCTTCTTGTGAAAAACGACAATGTCAAACGAGATGTCAGCAACTAGAGAAACGGGGTTACGAAAACAGACGAAAATGGTGAAGAGTGTAACAAAAAGAATTTACCCAAGTGGCAAGTAAGCTTCACAGTTATGGTCGTAAGCAAGCAGTCAGCTTCCTTTCATGTACGAGCGAAAGAAAAAGTTCGGGGAGCCGTCCAAACGGTATTAGGATTCAGCTCTAACGTTTCCGTGGACGAGCTTTCGGTGATAGTTTCTTTTACCTGGGTCGTAGTTGGGAGCGTGGCAGCCGGGCCATCGATAGATTTTTCACAAGTTTGGGGAAGCCTAAGGAGAAATCTGATTCTCAGAGAGATGCCTTACAGGTTTGGAAAATTTATCTGTCCGTCTGTTCTATCGGAATAAACCGCCCAAAGTTTGCATTTTTGTGTCCCAGAGGTCTCCTAACGGATTTGCCACTAATTTATGTGTACTTTCATGCGAAAATGTCTCACGATAACTAACTACAGGGAAGTCAAGATGATTTGTTCTAAAACTGGACGACATAACTTGTCTGACTATTGTGGAAAGACGCGACCAGATATTTTGCCCGACACCCCGAAACCTACGATGATCACTCAACTAGACAATGAAATTCCAGTGATGGTGTTGCGTTAGTTGAGATTAGTTGAACTTCAAGAACTTTTCTCTGAGTCACACTCTCCGACATCTAGGTTATTAGGACCTCTAGAACTTTGAAGGCTGGCTGGAATACATGAAACATGAATACCTATTCGTTCCATCCAGACTGTGGATGGATGAGCATACCAAAAAATAGCCAAGTGGTTCGTAGAGCTAGTGAAATCAACCTGGAAAGCCCTCTAAAACAACTGGCTCCACAAAAGGTTCTGAGTTTTTATGACTGGATTTAACTGGGCGAATAGGTTTCATGTCATACTTCGTTTTATGTTCAACTCTATCCACATATGTTTAACTAGAGGAAATTTCTAATCTCTTACTAGAGTAATTTGTGGCACACATTCTATGCTGACCCTGGAAGACCTAATTTTACTCTGCATGAAGGTTGAGGCCCACTGCGACAGCAGTAAATACAAACGGATCGACGGGATTGCTATTAAACACCCACGTGGCCCTACTTTAGACTAACATTGAAGCGTTGAAGCACATAAGACAGCTCAAAATCAACAAGTGGCAGCTTAACGGGATATTTTTTATTATCAGTGATCGAACACAAGTGGCCCTTGTGCCTCATTTGAATAGATGTTTTAAGCGCGATTCTGAATGCAAGCCTCCTGTGCTGAGCCAAAAATATTCCACCTACATTGATGCCTTCAAGGAAACCTTTTCCCCTTGCATCGGTGTTTTGGTTTATTGAGCCTTTGTACTGTGGGACAGCAGAGCATGGAAACTCTACAGACTCTACTTTCAAAGTCAAGTGCACTGTTTGTGCAAGATAATTCAGGTGCACTGGGTAAAGGTTTTCAAATGAGGTCAAATCAACAACTGATTTACAGCCACCTACACCGGCTAGTGAGTTTGTTAGACGAATGACCACTTCATTTACGGTCAGTTGCAGATTGGGGTGATGAATTGGTACTGTGAACCTAATGCTAGTACGGGTAAGTTGATATGGTGGACTGCTATCTGTAAATGTCTCAAGATTTTGAAGCACAGTCTACCTTGGCGATGAAGAGCAAACGGTTTTTGGAAGTGCTGGGGCCATGTTGCCGACAAATATAGCAACTTAGAGATGTCCGAAAAGAATCAGATCAGTCAGTCACCAGCGTAATCACTGAAAACGGTCGCAAGACTACCAGTGAGTTGTCTACCTTAAGTCTCCTATTTCTAATCACCATCTTTTTGACTTTATTGTCATACAACCAGAAGATAATACCTTCAGTCGTTTGACTAAATACCACCTGTATAGTGACGTGGTGGATAGTCTCCAGACAGCACCCCAACGGTGATTTATTCAAGAAAAATATGGTATTCCCCAGAAGCATCAAGAAATTGACGAGTCACTCCAGTGTATTGTTTGGAAAAAAGCTGCTACCGGTGTTCAGTGCTATGCCGCCAAACTTAAACTCATTGGTGGCCTTGAACACATCTCTAGGCTTCGGCCCTTAGCTCTCATTCCTTCGAGTCTGAAACGTGCGAGATAATTCCACATATGTGTGTCTAGTCAAAAGGGGACTGAGGACCTATTGCATGAGTGGTTCCCTGCCATTCAATAGCCTTCAGTCTTCCACACTGGGTTAGTATGTTCACTCGATGATTGTTTATCTCCAACTGGTCACAGCCTAATCGGATACAACCTTTTATCCATTTGATGTAGGTTGAAATTCATTTGTTTCGGGCAGTTGTGGAACCTATTTGTTTCGTTACCTGGTTTCTTTTCTCTTGCGTGAGTGCTCACAGGACCGCCTTTTTGGCGAATTACTTACCTTGATACTTGAAACAAAAGAAGGCCAACCAGGATGAATTTCATTCCTTTGGCTAACGGACAGGTCCATAGTAGATGCATGCTGGGCATAATATCTAGAGTGCATTTCAGTCCGCTCTCCTCTACTTAACGCGAACAATACATAGGTTGAGAAGGGTATGCGAGAACAAACTGGCATGTCGTGGATTGCTGACAACCGATAGTTCGTCCAACGTCAACACGAAAATGAGGGCACAAAATCGTTTGGATGTTAGGTAGATGCAACAAATGGATTGTTTTCATATTTTGAACACAAACATTGGACGTGAACGGGAAAAGACTTGTCGACGGCAACAGTAAATCTGAGAATGCAAGTTGTTACCTCTGGCCATGACATAAAGACTTTCCAATCTTTTTGAGCTGAATTTAGTTTTCGCGCCCATTCAATTGGAAGTCCGACTGTGAATGTCAAGTGAGACAGTCGAAAAAGTGTGCCAAAATGTTTCTTGTCCTCCGAGTAACGCAGAGCACATATACGTTGCCCTCAGTGAATGGAACTGTGAAAAGTTAGCATGGCTCTAAGGGTGTAAATTAAGTGACCATTGCGTCCGATGCGCAGTGATATATGTTTGCAGTTTTTACCCACCAGGCAGTAAATTGAATCATGGAGGTGTATGTAAGCAAAGGAGTTTCATCTATCGCTGAACACTGTACCAGGCAAACATCTACTGGAAACGTGAGAGTAAGTAACCGTCCCAAAAAACGGGACGATATTGATAATGATGGCTGGCCACACTCTGTTGTCTGTAGTTCTTTGAAACGAAAGTTTTTAAGTAAACACACAGTGGTGAACAGTAAATAATCATAAGTAAGTATCATCAATCAATGGCCACACTCTGTTGTCTGTAGTTCTTTGAAACGAAAGTTTTTAAGTAAACACACAGTGGTGAACAGTAAATAATCATAAGTAAGTATCAATCAATCAATTAATCAACCAGTCAATCACCTGTCATGAATAGATCATCCGATGAGTGCCCTAACATCCTCTCGCGCAGGCTTGCCGCTATGACGTGCATCATCACCGCTCTTGAGGATGAAATCATACTGATGAGGCTTCTCGAAGTATTTTGTGCATCTTCACCCACAGGTGACGGTGGATTTCTGGACGCTTCGAAATTATCTCTGTGTAGACAAACTGAACGGTACTACGTGACTGGAGTGGTAATTTGGCAGTAGGAAATGCTGATTTTTGTGGAACTCTATGTATTATAGAAGTATATGCAAGTGTTGTAGGATGCAATCAAGAAGTACCACAAAAAGTGAAATATGTAAATTTAGGTTTTGTTATATAGGTAATTCGCGGAAAGTATCTGGTGAGGAACAATTCACGAACGAAATTTCTTCGATAGATTTGAAAACGTGTGCCACGATAAATGGGAAATAATGAGACAAATATCCGGACATGTGCTTACAAGAAAGCTTAATTAATGTTCATACCGCCCAAAATAGTGGTTGTTGTGATTCGTCTTTCCCTTAATTTTGTTTGGGAACCAGGGAGGGAACAATGAACCCTTTAATTTAATATTCGTGGTTTATTACGAACAAAGTGTGGCCCCCGTGTTTTACCGTGTATTGTGCCATTCTAACATGGCACAAAACTAAAAGCGCACGGTATACTCAAGGAAAATCTCCATTTTGATAACACTGAACAGGTTTGGTGTCTAGTAAACACTGGTCAAGTATGATGGTGAGAAATAGGTCAAGTTGACTGGCCGGAAATTCGGGGCTGTTGTATTCAGTGTAACCATACAGTCTGTCATGAAAAATCTCTTCCACTGTAGTGCACAATGATTTGTGCAAGGAGTATAGAAGTACGTCAAGACG